CTCTCTCTCTCTCTCTCTCTCTCTCTCTCTCTCTCTCTCTCTCTCTCTCTCTCTCTCTCTCTCTCTCTCTCTCTCTCTCTCGCTCGCTCTTTCGCTTTCTCTCCCTCTCGCTCTTTTTCTATTTCTCTCATTTGCCTCTCTATCCTTTCCTTCCCATCTCTCCCTTTCTCTCAATCTGATCAGCCTGACAAGTTGTTCATGGCTTCTTGCTGCGCTCCTGCATTCTCGCCTCGCATCAAGCCAGCTGCTGACTCAGTTGTTTGTCGTCCATCGACAGCTGCTTGAGTAGTTTCTTCACGGCCTCCTCGGTGGCGCTCTCGTCGCTTCCCTGATCCGAGCTCTCGTTTATCCGCTTCAGGGCGTCGCTGACGATGCAGAGGTCTCCTCGAAGCTCGCTGACGACCGAGGCGATCTTCTCTGGCGTGCTGAGCACGTCTACGCTCTGCGTGTACGGGTTGTAGCGAAGTCCGAACGGCCTGGAGATGGTTGCTGCCATCTGCCTGCAAGAGACAGGTAACAGTGCCCGCGATGAATATGGGAGATAGGCCGGGAGCACGCTGTCGGAAGCGTCGGGTGTAGTTGTAAGGGCCGTAGCCTGTGGGGGTGGGGGCAAGGGGCAGCTGCCCCCTACATTTTTGAGCAAAATTAAAAAATAGGCCCTAAGCTTATTTAATCATCGTAAATAACCCTAACGGTTTTTTTGGTCACTTATCAGTGAAAGCCTTGTCTCAGACCCAGCCCTACCATACTATGGACGTCGGTCAAGAGCTGCGCCCGTCCCTCATCATTACACAGTTGAGTCATAAAATTTCGCCCCAAGGAATTTGCTTAGCCTGCGGCCCTGGTTGTGATCGTCACGAGTCTAAAATGTCGCAACGTTTGAAGGAAAGTGTCGCGCAAAAGTTTTGACATTTTAGACTTTTGACAGCCGGAACAAATCATAATGTTTCTGACAACCCGGCTCACTCCTTCTGATACGAAGTTTGCGACTCTCACATACGCAGCATTTCTTACAAGGTTATACGCGAGTCTAATCGCGCGAATAAAACATTTCTTCGACGTTTGACGTTGTTGCCGCTACAAGCAAGAACTGGTTGCGTCTTCATGAAGCATTTTACTTCGATACTGTACGTGTGGTTGAATCGGCATGGTCATTAACCGTGCTATCTATATAGCGTGTTTGTTCTTGTTATTAAGCATTGTATTGATGCAGGTTATTGATATTGTCATTGCTGCGGATATTACGGATTTGTATTACGTGTGAAGTTGGTGTTACCTATACATGTAGGTAGTAGCATGAACCTTGTACAGTCTGTAGCTGCATATACTTCTGGGTGGGATAAGCAATAACTTTATCGTCACAGACATTATGATGATTACATCCGAGAGAGATTGGATTGGCAGACGGGAAAATATTGCAAGAAACATAGTGTGATTCTAATTTTCCTGCCACAAAGGGTTTTACATTTCACTCGGCAAGAGGAAAAACGTTCGATTGCTTTTGTAATATATCTGTAGCGACTACTGCGAATTAAAATCGTAGACATCCATCGTAATTACTGTGCTGTAGTCTTCTGTAGGTCTTTCTACTGCAGAAGACGAAGCGAAATGGAGAGAAAGGGATGGGGAGAAGGTTTGTTATTCTGATCATAGAGAAAGCGGGAGGGGGAGAATGTTCATTCTACGATTGCAAAGAAGGCATAATGAAGAGAATGTGTTTTTCTCCGATCGTAGAGGAACGGGGGGAGAACGTATATTCTTCCTATCGTAGAGGAAGCGTAAAGGGAAGAATCTTTATTCTTCCTATCGTAGGGGAAGTGTAAAGGGAACAATGTTCATTCATTCTTTCTATCGTAGAGGAAGCGTAAAGGGAAGAATCTTTATTCTTCCTATCGTAGAGGAAGCGTAAAGGGAAGAATCTTGATTCTTTCTATCGTAGAGGAAGCGTAAAGGGAAGAATCTTGATTCTTCCTATCGTAGAGGAAGCGTAAAGAGAAGAATGTTTATTCTTCCTTGAATGTTCATTCTTCCTTTCGTAGAGGAAGCGTAAAGGAAATAATCTTCATTCTTTCTATCTTAAAGGAAGCGTAAAGGGAAGAATCTTGATTCTTCCTATCGTAAAGGAAGCGTAAAGGGAAGAATGTTCATTTTTTCTATCGTAGAGGAAGCGTAAAGGGAAGAATCTTTATTCTTCCTATCGTATAGGAAGCGTAAAGGGAAGAATGTTTATTCTTCCTATCGTAGGGGAAGCGTAAAGGGAAGAATCTTTATTCTTCCTATCGTAGGAGAAACGTAAAGGGAAGAATCTTGATTCTTCCTATCGTAAAGGAAGCGTAAAGGGAAAAATCTTCATTCTTCCTATTGTACGGGAAGCGTAAAGGGAAGAATCTTTATTCTTCCTATTGTAGGGGAAGCGTAAAGGGAAGAATCTTCATTCTTTCTATCGTAGAGGAAGCGTAAAGGGAAGAATCTTCATTCTTCCTATCGTAGAGGAAGCGTAAAGGGAAGAATCTTCATTTTTCCTATCGTAGAGGAAGTGTAAAGGGAAGAATCTTCATTCTTCCTATCGTAGAGGAAGTGTAAAGGGAAGAATCCTCGTTCTTCCTATCGTAGAGGAAGCGTAAAGGGAAGAATCTTTATTCTTCCTATCGTAGAAGAAGCGTAAAGGGAAGAATCTTCATTCTTTCTATCGTAGAGCAAGCGAAACTCATCTGGGTTTTCTAAACTATTTCGAAGTGCATTGAAGCCATCGGAGGTTTGTTGTTCTTACCTCATCTGCTTCTTCGCATCCTCGAAGCTGTCCGTGTAGAAGTAGACCTCCTGGAAGGTGGTGATCATCGGCTCCTGGTTGACCACCTCGTTAGCATCGAACTTCAGCAGCTTAATCTTGTCGGTCATCACGTGCTGACGGCAGCGAGAACACAGATTAGAGAGAGAGAGAGAGTGGGAGAGAAAGGGAGGGGGAGGGGGAGATAGAGGGAAAGAGAGAGATCGATAGAGAGAGAGAGAGAGAGAGAGAGAGAGAGAGAGAAGAGAGAGAGAGAGAGAGAGAGAGAGAGAGAGAGAGAGAGAGAGAGAAGGGGCGGGGGGATAGGAGAATGGTGAGGTGGCGAGGATGTAGATTTGCCAACGGGTCACAGGGCACGAAGCAGTGGTGAAGGTGAGGGGTCCGGTGGGGCCGGTCACGCCCGTCCTAGTAGTTAGTTGGGTAGTTAGCCGTTTAGTTGCTGGTTTGTTGTTGTTAATGTTGTTTATTCAGTAGCCCCGCTTGAAGTGTGTCAACTTAACCTGAACTCTCCAATGCAGGCGAGAAGTCCCTGCTGCGTAACCCTCAGTTCGCATGCTGGTTGCTACAGACCAAACCCAGCGTGAATGAAAAGAGAATAGCACTGTTGAAGAGCATGCGCGTGGAATATACATTCGGTAGCTGTCGCGATTCTCTAAACCATTGATGGTTTTCTTAAATCTACTATTCTTATCTTGTGAAGTAACTGTTGGCGGATTTACATTGAGATGGCGCGACTAGTAGATAAGCATATGAAATATTGAATTATTTTACTTCAATCATTAACGGTAGGCTAATTGAGGTAAGGCCAATCAGCGTTTAGTATGGACTATGTGGCTCGAAAGAGACGTAGATAAAAGATTGATTGGATAGAGGACGACCGAAGTGAAGCGCGCGGGCGGTGTGCAATGAGATAAGACGAAAGGGAGAGAGAGGAAGAAAGACAGCAACGAGAACAAAAAACAGATAGAGAGAGAGAGGGAGCGAGCGAGAAAGAATGAGAGAGATGGATAGCAGAGAGGAGAGAGAGAGGAGAGAGGGGGGGGGGGAGAGGAGAGAGGAGAGAGGCGAGAGAGAACGAGAGAGGGAGAAGTAGAGAGAGCAGAGAGAGAGAGAGAAGAGAGAGGGAGAGGAGAGAGAGAGGGAAGAAGGAGAGAGAGAGAGATAGGAGAGAGCAGAAGGAGAGGAGACGAGAGAAGAAGAGAAGAGAGAGAGAGAGACGGAGCGAGGGGGGGGTTATGAATGAGACTTACCACGGCGAGGTTCTGCACTTCTCGTGCGAGAGCCGAGGGAGGCGAGAGATCAGCTTCCTTGGAGAACTCGCGAACTGGGAATGCCGCTGCAGTAGCGGGCGCGTGGTCCAACAGTTGTGGAAGCATCGCTATAACGCAACCAACACGCAGCGATCGTCGTCAATCACAATACGTACCACAGTTAACCAGCGTCCTTGTCATCACCATAAGGCAACCACATACGCAGTGTCACTCATAATTCACTATAGCGAACCACTACGCAGCCTCGACTCATCAATACACATGGCAACACACGCAAGCGTCACTCATCATCAGCAATACTATCACTTCCGCGCTCGTCAGTTCGCGCCATAGCAACCATTAAAAAAATTAATATAATAACACCATCACAAACAGCAGCAGCAATGCATCTTATACCATACACAGTGTACTACAACGGTAATTAACTCAATCATAAACTTGATACTCAGTATTACCCCATATTAGTATATAATATTATATATATATATAATATATTGTGTGTGCATAGGATACATTCGAGCATAGGTTAATGTGCTATCTACGTTTATTTACCGATTCACACTAGCTATTCTTTTGGTCCGATCTCGTCAATAGCCTTACATACGAGTGGTATAATTAGGATAAAAAAGTATAAGAAAAATAATAAGAATAAATATATAGGTAGAGCTATAGTAGGTAGAGGTATTAGGTAGAGGTATGATTAGGTAGAGGTATATTAAGGTAGAGCTATATAGTAGAACGGATAATAAAAAAAAAAAAAAGAAGTAAGTAGACCCAAGGTATATAGGTAGAAGGTATATAGGTAAAAAAGGTATAGTAGATAGAAGCTTAAGGAATAAAATAAATATAGTTTAGAGGTATAGTAGGTAGGCTTATAATGTTGAGGTATATAGTAGAGCGATATAGGTAGGGTATAGTCAGGTAGAAGGTATATAGGTAGAGGTATATAGGTAGAGCTATATAGGTAGAGGTATATAGGTAGAGGTATATAGGTAGAGGTATATAGGTAGAGCTATATAGGTAGAGCTATATAGGTAGAGGTATAACTAGGTAGAGGTATATTAGGTAAGCTATAATAGGTACGCTAATTGGCTAGAGGTAATAGAGTTAGAGGCTATATTAGGTAGAGCTATATATCGGTGGAGGTATACGTAAGGAAGCTGCTTTGAGATCACGTTGACACACTTACGGCTCTGGTGTGTAGAAGGGATCGAGCTGTGGCGGACGTACTGCTACAGTGGAAGACCGCTGCACGTATGTCCGGCGAGGAAGTCACGGGGGCGACAGGTTAGCCGGCGAACGGGTCGCAGCTGGAACCCGTGCGCTTCTGTAGAGTAGCATGAGAATGTCAGCAGCTGTTAGCTATTACTACTGCTGAAGGGGTCCGTTGTCGTATATGTAGTACCCGACGGTGCGCGAGTATGTCGCTAACGTACTCCATAACCCTGAACTAATCTAAACTAACCCTAGACACCTAACCTAACGTAACCCTACGTCCTACCATATGAGATAGTTAACAGATCGGGTACTATATTATATCATTATACCGACAATGACCCTCGTGCATTAACTAATACTCGCTACTACTACTGCTGCTGCTGCTACTATATCTGCACTGCTGCTGCTACTGCTGCTACCTGCTACTTGCTACTGTCTCTGCCTGACTGCTACTTGCTGTGCTGCTGCTGCTGGCTTGCTGCTGCCATGCTAACTGGCTGGCTGGCATTACTATTGACTATTGATATTGCTATGTGCTGGTTGCTGTTGCTACTGCTACTACTGGCCACTGGGGCTGCTGCTGCTGCTGTAGCTCCAAGAAACGGTATCGCTAGGGTTAGGATACCGTTGTAGACGGTTGTATAGACAATCCGTCGCACAGCCTGGTCGGGCTACTGCTGCTTGCCTGTCGCTGCTGTTGCTGGCTGCTGCTGCTACTACTGACTGCCACTGCTGCTGCTGCTGCTGCTGCTGCTGCTGCTGCCACTGCTACTGCTGCTGCTGCTACTACTGCTGCTACTACTACTACTGTTGCTGCTGCTGCTGCTGCTACTGCTACTGCTACTGCTGCTGCTGTTACTATTGCTATTGCTATTGCGGTGGGTACTGCTACTACTGCCACTGGTGCTGCTACTGCTGCTGCTGTTACTATTGCTATTGCTATTGCGGTGGGTACTGCTACTACTGCCACTGGTGCTGCTACTGCTGCTGCTGTTACTATTGCTATTGCTATTGCTGTTGCTACTGCTACTGCTACTACTGCCACTGGTGCTGCTGCTGCTGCTGCTGTTGCTACTACTACTACTGCTGCTGCTGCAACTGCTGCTGCTGCTGCTGCTGCTGCTGCTGCTGCGGCTTCTGCTTGTGCTACTGACTGTGCTACTGCTAGGTGCAAGGACACAAACAAATATAGGTTGATGGCCCCGATGATTTTCGGTGTACATGATTAGCAGTACGATTATTAGAAACGAGGAGACGTGGGGGAATCTATGGAAACATGGGCAGAACACGATGACAGGTTTTTGTACTAGGTCGCCGTTCGAGCGTAAGTTCTAAGGTCAGCTATTAGTCAATCACGATCATTGGAGACGGAAGGGACGCGGTTTCGTGCCTTTTAGAAAGGTGGAGACGTCCTCTAGTTGAGGCACGTTGTTCTCTCTGTAGCCACAATCCTTCATGAGCAGTGACAGCATCCCCAGATGCTCTGCGCATGCGTACTTCGCGTACAGGTCTTTCAGTTCCGAGAAGATAGTGCCCCTGTGAAATGATTCATAGCTATGGTAGGTAGGCAACGTGGAAAGGTATGAGCAGAGTAGACCATAATATATGTATAGAACTAGATAGCGTATCTAGTATATTACGGCTATAGTTAGCATCGACCAAACTACTGAACTCGTTTTACGGTTGGCTCCCTCGCTGGTAAAATATTGTGAATAACGTGAATGACACGCTTTCTGGTTTGTAGTTAGCAGTGAGTAAACTCCGATCTACCGGTTTAACCATTACATCTCCATCGCCGCTCAGATATTCACTGCATGCATGGCAAGTTTTGCCTTGCAGCTTAAAGTATTTAGAAAATATCTAGCGAACTATGCAATGTCGCATATACTGCTGCTGTTTTAGATGCTGCCAATGTACGCGTGCTTACTGACTGGCTGAATTTAATTGAATCTAGATTCGCATATAAATGGTTTCGTGTCGAGTATGAGAGGTCGAAACGGAAAGACGTGGTGAAGCGATAAAAGTTGTAGTGAGGCACGGGAAGGCGCATATAATAGAGAGAGGTAGGTTGTGGGGAGCGACGCGCGCGCGAGAGAGAGATACAGAAGCAGAGAGAGGGGGTGCGCGAGAGAGCGAGAGCGCGCGGAGGAGATCAGGGGGAGTATGAGAGGTAGAGAGAGAGAGAGAGAGAGAGAGAGAGAGAGAGAGACGGTGTCGCCGTAAGAGAGACCGTGACGCAATGATTAAGGCGCTGACTTAGTGTGTGAGGCGGTGACGCAAAGATTAAGACGCAGACGCTATACGTGAGACGGTGACGCAAGGAGTAAGACGCTGACGTAATATGTGAGATTGTGACGCAAAGA